GTTGCTAATTAAATGCGAATTTATCTTGACACGCTTTAGATAAACCAATTGATCACTTTTGAATCGATCTAAACTAGTCTGCCCATCTGACCCTGTATTCCGCGTTCTACCTATATGTCGCAGTTTTTGAGATATTTGATTTTGTTTCAACTCAAGGACGAATACTAATTAATATGAATTCGATCGTACTATTGTTTCGACCAATCCGCATATAAGGCCTCATTTTGAAAAGTCGAGATTTGAATAATTAGGCGGCGTGGCTCGCTATAAAGTCTTTGGTTATTCTTTTTGGGTGTCTCTTCAACCGTAGCAGGATATTCGCCCGATTGTTAAGCTTTTTCTGGATAGAAAGGATAAATCCACGTTCGATCGCTATTCCTTATAACTGATTGACATGATGACTTATACACAATATCTCTTAAGCCACTAAAACACGACACTGCTTTCAAAAAAAAAAAAAAATAATAAATTGGCTTACGTTGGAAGAAAAAGAGAAGACAAACAGGACTAATTGCAAAACGTTCTTTAAAATCGAGGAAATTGTTTCAACTGACGGTCAAACTATGTCTACAAAGTCTTTAACATTTAATTGACGATCGATGAGCACAAAATCCTTAGTATTTGTTTTCAGTTATTGAGGTCGATCGAATTCCATCTTCAAGCGGTTTCTTCAGTTTCTCTGCTTTTTCTAAAATCCTTGTAACATGTGCAAACTTTTGATTGCTTTGATCGATAAAGTTCTCATCACGTTCTCAATGCCTCTAACAATGTGAATTTATTTTTTAAATGCAATTTAATATGAATTTTTTGCTCTATAAATTTATTTGTGTTGAAAATTTCCAAACAAAAATTTAACACAATTGCTTAAAACTTTTTTTCCGTCCGCCATTACTAACAGTTGTACCAAACTAAACAAACACAAATAATGTTGTTATTCGAAGCGTGCATGCTTTGAAACTAAGCGTAGCACTTTACCTTTTAAACACAGTAGTGTAGGTTATAGGTGGTAAATATTTCTTAGAATTCCAAACGGAATGATGAATCTACTCCGCATTCTTTCTGCTATCTTTCGATATAATAAACTTCTTCTTTTTCTATGATTATCCTTTGGTCAGCTAAAGTTGTCTTATCCTTGGTTTTCAAATATCTCAAATGCTATTAAGACGAATTGATTACTGCTTCTTACCTATGACATTTCTAGTTCATTATATTCCTTAGCGTATCAGTTTTAATTATTTAATGACCATTGCTTTGGTGTGCGAGAAGAAAACAAAGTCATTAAGAAAAGAAAAATTAAAAGAACAAAATTAAATGCAGAAAGTCCTATGGGATGTTTTTGAAGTTGGAAAAAGACAACAAATTGCTTTAATAATAATACAAGGCGTTTGTGATCTAATCTATGAATTATTTAATCTGGAAACTTCTTACCTAAACATAAAAACATTTTTATGTTATTTAAGAAAAGTATATTATTTATGTCCTACACCACTATTGTTACAAGGATATATTAAGTTTAAGTGGTTGTGTGCAAGACACAGCAGACATGAGTAAGGTCCACTTTTTACTATATCCATCGTTCGTTTGTCCGTTTACCTGTCTGTCAATCTGTCTGCCTTTTTTCGTTGTGTTCAACGTACAGGTCGCAATTTTAGAAATATTTTGATGAAATTGATGATGTTTTGGCCGAAAGGCACATTCAAACTGGTTCTACTCGGAATACACAGCTAAACCTGTTCATCATTGGTTCCCCATAATTGGCAGAAATTAATTATGAAAAATGACTTTGTCTGCATAAGAAACTTGATTTGATATAAACCAGCTTTAGTGTATATTTGCAATTTTCTTTAGTTCAGCTGCTACCATTAATCTTGGAGTAATTTCTCATATGTTTTATCCATAAATGCTGAGTACGATTAATAGCACTAAAGTTGCATAAATGTAATATTTTCGTATTTGTGGCATATCTTTAATATAAAGCCTCAATGTCTTACTTAATCGTTCTCTTTTCTTCTGCTTTATTTCAATTTTAATTTTAAGTAAACGAGAGCAATGTGGTTTTCAATGCTATAAAATTTATGAAGCAAATCTAATGCTTTTAAGGTTAAGCTCTATTAAATAAAGTTTTATTTATTATAAACATTGATATGAAAAACGCTTTAATTCGAATACTTTGTAAGCAAAGCATTTTAAGCGTGTACCTGGTCGCCTTTTTGTCTCTTCCCCTGGCAATTTTTCGCTTCTCTGTTTTCGAAATGGTATTAGTTGTAAAACAAAAATCGAATTATGTTGTGACGAAAGTTTTTCACTAAAATTCATCTTTTCTTTCAATTTAAATGGCCATTTATTAGAACAAGCTAGTGACTTGTCAAAGCATTACGCAATCATTGTAGAAATTGTGAAAAATTATTATTATATTAATAATATCTTCATATATTGTAGCAATTGTCGTATACGAGAGCATATTAAGGTTGTGCGAAGGTATGCAACACACAGAAACACTTGAAAAAGACCCGTCTTTTATTATGCCGACCGGTGAAGAATTATTTCATTTGTCTGTCTGTCTGTCCTTGTTTTGTGTGTTCACTCTACACATGCCACATTTTTAAGATATTTTGACGAAATTTAGTATACCAATGTGTTTGGCCCCGAGGACTTTAGCTATTGAAATTGGTTGAGATCGCACCATTTTTTCTACCGATTTCTATATAACGTCTTGTTTTGCGAATTTGTTAATTGTGCAACTCTAGATTGATATAGGGTATTTAATGATGACTCTGGATCCACTACCCGTTTTTAAACCAAACAACGATTAACAACATAATATATAAACTAGATTCACTTTGTAATATATATTAATACATATATTTTTATATTTAGGTTTATGTTTATATACACGTTTGTATTTGTGTTTATAAAATTATATTATTATTGTTACTAATTTAGTCACAGGAATAAATTCGAAGACTAAAGTCTTAAATCTGTAGCAGCTAAGGCTATGTCGGTCTTGTTAAAAACTCTACCGGATTTGAAATTTAAATCCAAGGCCATTAACTTGCTGGTCGAGATCTTTTGCCTACGCAGCCACTCAGGCGCATATATTTAATTATAAAAATCTTCTTACAATATGAAACCAGTTGAGGAGCGTAAGAGTAAGTGTTTGTTCTCCTTTACAAATCGAATTAAATATAGTTATCAATAAGATTGCATATAAAGGGACGATAAGAGAGTAAAAACTATATGAGTTAGAAAGAAAAATATAAAAAAAAGTAAAGAAAAAGGAGACGGCATTTTTAAGTTGGTACTAACAGCCCTATTTTGACATTGTGACCGGTCACTAGTCTTTAGAGAAGTCAGTGTGTTCTCTCGTTATAGCGTTCATGGTATTGTGTCAAAATTGATACTCTAGAATAGTAGCCGCTTTCTCAGTCTCTCACGCTCTCGCGCAGGCCCAATAAGCGTCTTCAGTAAAAATTTTTCTACATCACAAAGAATACAAGCAAAAAAATGGCTGATGAATGGTGACATGTTCGTAATGTTGTTTACAATAAGTCTACTGATCGTAAGATTTTGCACAGACTAAAAGGCCGAAAATGCTACGGAAGATTATTGATCATTTGCAATAGATATTGACAATAAGTAGTGAAAGACCAACCCGCAGTAGTATAAAGCATGGAGGAAAGGATTACAGTTTTGATAATTATATGTATATTTACACATGTATGAATGTTTACAGGATCGTCCCCTTCATCAATTATGGTTTTTACGGATGTATGCAACACTCAGAAGCGGTTGAGTCAGATCCAGCTTTAGATTCAAAATCACTTTTTACATCGATTTACATTTGTCTGTCCATCTGTCCGTCTTGCTTCTCTGTGGTCAACCTATAGGTGGCAATTTTTGTAGTACTTTGATGCAATTTGCTATACCAATGTGTTTTGGCCCAAAGATGAACGCTGTTAACAATGGTTCAGGTCGCAGCATTTTCCGCATAATATTTTATGTAACTGAAGTGAGAGAAGTGATGTTAATTATTTAATGATGCGTCCATTATAGTGTTTTAACTTGTTGTTTCTCTGTCTATCTTTATTCAAAGATTTGCATTCGCAGTGACACCGTCCAGGCATCTGCAGAACGTAATATCAATGAAATATATAACTTTATTAAGATGCATGGGATGACCACCTACTAATACTCATCTTATTTTTGTCAAAGAATTTATTACCTTCACTTAAATAAGTTTTAGTAAAAATACTTCTCTTCTTCTTCTTCTACCTTCACTTCTCTATGTTAATCTCAATATTGAAAGGATATTGGAAAAATCTTTCAACACCTACGTGTAATCCATTAACTGCAGAAGACTTCTTCCCCGCATTTCCACCTAAGTTATTTCTATATATTGCATGTGAGTGAGTTATTAATTACGCATCGATGATTATTAGTAATATTACAAGCATGGAACAAATTTAAGATAATTGATGATCTTTAAAAGGCTGTCGTCGTAAGCTTAATTAATCCAAATGAAGTGTACATCGAGTACATCGATATTTGAAATGTCTACTTATTGTCTTTCAATTTTATTGTTTGCTTACTTTGTACATTCGATTCAATGCAAACAAACAAAATACTTAAGGGGTTAAACGATTAATTTACTTGCATTTGTTTTTGTAGTTATTGTTGTTGTTTATTCGATACGACCTCAAAGTTTCCTTCTTAAAAAAAAAAAAAAATATATATATATATATATATATATATATATATCAAAGAACAATAAATCGATTTCCTTGTGAGAAAAGAAATAGCAAATAGTATCCGACCTATACCTTACACGCAACCTTAATCCTAGACAATGAAAAATGAAAACCAAGTTCAAGAGAATGTAACAAAAAAAAAAAAAAAAAAAAAATTTTTAAAAAATGTGAAAAAAAAAGAAAAAAAAAAAAAAAAAGACAAAGGCAAGAGAAGACAATGTTAATAACAATAAACAAATATAGTTTACTTACCTGTTGAGGTGACAATAAAATTATCCGACATTATTACGTTGAATACTGGATATAACGACGACGATGACGACGACGACGGCGACAACAATTTGACAAGGCAACAATTATTCTTGATTACAGCTTTTACTTGCAATGAAATGCGGACGTATGGAAAGATTGAAGGAAGGAAGGCATAGACAGCAGCAAAATTTGATTCAAGTTGATTCCCTTGGTTGTAGACAAAGATACATATATGTGTAGATTTTCTTTTTCTTTCAAACTAATTATTATAGATATGTCGTTGAACGAGTTACCATTGGTACGGTGCTAGTGATTCATCATCATAAGGCGTGCGGGTACATTGGCTTACTATTGTTTTTTAGATAAATATTTTACTGGAAACGAACCGGTCTAAGTTTAAAATAGCCTTTGTGCAGTTCGTTATAAGTACGTTTAGGAAATTCTTATGCGATTATTTCACAGGTGTCACAAACTGTAAATATTCTGATAATTGGGCCATGGGTATAATACATTTTTTATCTTTAACGCGTAATCATTCCATGACATTGTTTACGTAATGTAAGGCTAGTTGTTGCATATTATTAAAGTTATTAGGTTTGTTGCGCTTTCTAATTACTACTGGTCCTATTTAGTTAATAAGTTTTCTCCATTCCCACATGAGCCGTTGCTTTTGTTTATGTTTTACATGTAAATTCAAATTACTACTCATCAGTCGCCATAGTTGAGGTTATTTTGATATGAACTCTCTCTCTCTCTCTCTCTCTTCCTCTCTTCCTTCCGTGATTGTTTATAACGACCGCTATTTTATGTTTAACATGTGTGGGTGAGGAATGGCCTTTAATTGCACGGCGTTAAAATCAGTCAATTTCAGCACAAAAATATTTGTATTCCTGTTGATAAATATTCCAGTGATTACGTAAATGCCACCGCATGAGATTCGCTTTATTTTGCAGTCAAGTTGTATTTATCGCAAGTTGCTCGAACAAGAGTTTATTATTATTATTTTCGTATATATCCATAGGACGAACGATTTGCAATCACTGTATAAAATACATAATAAATTCCGAATTAAAGACAAGACAAGGTTTTTTAAAAAACTTTTAATAAATAATGTGTTGCATACGCAGCCTACTAGGAGAGCGTAAGGATCCTAGCACATAACATAAGTAAAATATTTAATTAATTTCGCTTACCAGAAGCACATTTGTTGCACATATGTTACGTTCTGATTTTTTTACACGATAGGACTCGATAATTTCTATTAGCAGTCTTTTTTCAGAGAAACGTTTTGAAATAGTGCTCTCGAGTTATGGTTTGTTTTCTACTGTTCCCGCATTCACTATTATGTTATTCGCCTAATTGGAAATGAATTTCAAAAATATTTTATCGTTAGCCGCGGACAAGTTAGATTGTGGGCCTGTGTCTAGGTAGATCGTATCCACTTTTCAAAGGTTCTCAATTGCTCAAGGCATATTTTGCACGAAATTTCACTCTCTTTCGTTTATTTTTGTCATTATGTGGACCCCATGAAGATTGTGCGTCAAGTTAAGCCCATGTCGGTAAAAGTAGTTCTACGGTTAATATATATTTCTCTCGTTTACTCGCATAATATGACTAATCATTTAGTCTAACGTTCTTATAATACCAATATATATAAAAATATATAGTTACTTATGCAAAGAGAAGAGAGTTCTTTCCTTCTCAGTCTACTTCGGAATTAGTGGTAATAAAGTTATTGAGTAGCATATAAGTTATTTATCACACATATCCAGTCCAACTTAAATTTTGGATTTGTTCTACTCTACACCACTTGTGGGATAACACTCAGAAGGATTTGAGTTGGATCCATTTTTAATTACGATTCTATGTCCATCTGTCCGCCTAGTATTTTTGTGCTTAACCTCGCAATTTTTAAGATATTTTTATGAAATTTAGTACATCGACGCATTTCGAAGCAACGGTAAACTTTATTGAAAATGGTTCCGATTTTACCGATTTCCGAGCACTTTTCATATAACACCTTATGTTGAAAACTCGTTATATGCACAATTGTATCAAACACAGGGGGGTATAGGGTATTCAATGGCGGCCTATGGCTCGCCAAGTTTTCATTTAGTTTCCTCTACGAAAATAATAGGTTGTTTGAATTTAAAAAATTTGAAATATTTGCATCAGTAGTTCTGTCCTATGCAATATGATAACTAATTAACTTTTACATGTTGTTTGTTTTAATCGTATCATTGCGCAAAATGTTTATTTACACCGGTAAGGGAAAATATTTTGTTTTTTTTTTTTATATCTCATGCTCAGAGTATTGGTCTGTGAAAAAGGTCGTAATGCGTTTCGCCAACACGCAGTTCTAAGACTATGAAGTCATATTTATCAACAAGTATCAAGTAAGGGCATTTCTTTTTAATTGACTACGATAGCAGTACGATTTAGAGAGTAAATCAAGGAACTGAAATGCGACACCATGACGTCATGACGTTTTCGCTAACCCAATCTTTGGCTGTGTAATGCTTTTCACTATTTAGTGTTTATTGTTTCACTTTTCCAAACAATAGCCTACACAAAAATATATGCTATCTAAGCATCTGCTTTTTATGAGGCAGCATACAAGCAAAGCAATATTATGTTGTTTTTTCCTTGAAATTAGCTGAAAAAGGTTGCAGTTGAATGTGAGAACAAAAAAAAAAAAAAACAATTTTTTCACACAATATGCTCAAAATGTTTGAGGTAGAGAACTGCAATTTAAGTTAAGCACAAACTTTTCATGGCCATTGCACTCACTTTGTTTCATTTCGTACGCATATAATTGGCTTTTATTATTATTTTAATGAATTCTTTCAATAATTTCTGAAATGCAAGCTTTTGATGGTTCAAAGTTAAACGCTTGTAAATGGTAATCAATGACAATTTTATAGGTCAACTCTATAAATATTTAAGACTTTTCGGCATTTTGATATAAAATAGAAAACGGTTTAATTCTCGTAGCTGCAAACTGAAAATCGTTATAATGACATAAAAACAGATTTATGACTTGTAGTGAATTTTGTTAACTATGCCAATGGTTTGTGCTTAACGCTGAAAAAAAAATGAAAAACGGATTGAAATAAACTGAGAGCTAAGCAATAGTTAAATACATAAGAAGGCATCTTTTCATGACGAGGGATAAATTCGTTTGTATGTTTTTTTCGCTTTTATATGAGTTTCAAGTCTTTGTTGGAAAAGTTTACATGATAAGCGCCCTATATCACACACTTTACCTTTCTAGAACCTTCAGGTGCTGCTGTCGAATTTTTTACTTAAAATTAGAGTTTTTTTGCCTTATCAAGGCTAAATTTTCTTCAGAGTCCTTATATCGATAGACCTTTGATAAATGGGCCAAATTTAACACAGTTTATCTTATATGTCCAATCTTGCCAATAGGCTAATTATTTAGGTTATTAAACTTTGGACCATTTTTCCTTCGTCTACAGGGAACGGTGTTCTGGCAGCTGTGGCTGAAAAAATGTTTGGATTACAACTTATTTTGAAGAGAATTCGCCCTTGACAACCCAGCTAAATTGAATCAAAGTGACGCATGAATTAAAGAATAAATGGGTAGATGTCAGACAAATCTTGCCTTTAAACTAGTTGGGGCTGGTATAATAAAGACTATGTCTATATGATTTTCTTATGCCTTTTGCCAAACATTTACAAAAATTTAATACGCTGTTACCACAAGTAGTGTAAGCCGGCGTTCTCCTTGAGTATTATCTATGCAATAAACAAGATATATACAACATACACAGATGCACTCATTTATGTGACTTTCAAATTAGCAAAAAATTTTTATTCCGATGTGGCCGAAACTTCTAAACCCACCATCAGCTTATTAAAAAGTTAACCGTGAAAAAAAAAGTAAATATCGATTTTCTATAATATCCTGGGGCAGTGAGTTGGGACGTAGACAAGGCAGATTTTCAGAAATGAATTTGTGGAATCTAAAGCCGGTAAAAGACGGCTCTTTATTATGCAAGTGTATTTGTTTTCTCAAACACCATGAAAGAAGCTTCTGACATGTATACAAATAATATTCCCATTGGCAGACACATTGCAAGTCTTCGCATGCACTCACTGCGAAATTTTTAATTCATTTCGCGTGCATTGTGAAAATTGAATTCCTTCCTACGAAGCGAGCCTACTTCTCATCGAACTAAACGAACGATCATTTTGTAATGAAAGGAATTTCGGCAGAATTAAGGTTTGATAAACCGCTAAGACAAATTTAGGAATAATATATTGCATAAAAACGAAGGACAGTACCTACCATCTTTATCTTAAAAATAACACAACACAAATAAAATTTCGACAAAAGGGGCTCACTTGGCGTTCGTACCCTTAGTGCATGTCCTTGGAACGATTTGACTCATTTTCAATACTAAAGTGCATGCAATACCTTCCAACTTTTCTGCCAAGTTTGATGACGAGGGAGTATTTTCCACTATGGACAGACGGAGATATTCAGAATTTGACGCTGATCAAGTATATATGTAATTTATGATGAATTATTATACCCCTTCCTTCGGTGAGGGGATAACGAGAAATGAAAACTGAGAATGACTAATGCGAAGTGCAATTTCCTTTAGAAAGCAATTTAAATTTAGGAAAACTAAAAATTTAAGGCAATTACTTGGCAACTTATGAACTTTCATAAGACGTAAGCATAGAAGAAGTTTTCGAAAAAAAATGTAACTTTCTTTTGTTGCTACTTAAAGTTGCACAATCATTACTTGACATCATTACGAAAATGCAGTACAAAGAAAATTCATGAGAAGATGCTTTGAAAGGCGTGCATTTAATGGTAACATTACTGCAGATATATGTGCGTATTTTTTAAAAAATTGTGATGCGCAACATACACTTTGAATTTACATACAATTTAGAGTAAAGGGGTAGAGTGAAGTAATTCAATTTATTTATTCTTTATGATAAAAGAAAAAAAAAAAAATCTAATTTATACTGAGTATAAAAGTTAACTTTGCTGCATAACATAACATCAACTATTTATTTATGTTGATTGCATTAATATATCTATTCTTGAACGTTAACTATTCCAGCCACATAAACAGTGTCATTTAAGCGGTTTTCGCTTAACAGGTCAACAATAACGCCAAACAAACCAACATTAAAACAATGAGAGAGGAAAAGAGCTACACAACATTAACGGCAAACAATAGAGGAAATGCAAGAGTTTATATAAATAGCTTCAGGTTAAATAATCGCACATTCATCATACGTCAAGTAGAACACTCTAACTGGTGTTGGCTGTTTACTTACACTGAAAAAGTGCAAGAAAGACATACGATTCATATGATTAAGGTAAAAGCAGGAGAGCCGATGCATATGCAGTTGGAAAGAAAGCTTGAAATGAAGCAAAGAGTTTAACTAAATATATAGAAAAGTGGAACGAACATGAGCAAAATCCTCGTAAATGGGGAAAAGGAAAACCAAAACATTAACGATATATGAGCACAAGATTATGTAAGATTGCATATAATGAGGGCATATAATGAAAAAAAATTTGAAATGTTATAGTCGGACAAGGTCGTGCATTAAATGCCCTCTACCAAATCGCATAATGCAATTTTGCATTTATCTTCGTCATAAAATGTCAAGATTTCCACCTTATGTCTTAGTTTTAATGGAAAGCTCTCGAAACTATGTCAAACCGATCCTGTGGTATAAGTCTGGTGCAGCTTCATTTATGTATCAACTCAGTATTCTGGAACAAGTTTTATCATAAAATGCTATACAGTTAGAAAATGTTTTCATATGAAGGCTTATGATGAAAGATGAGAGGGAGCTCCCATACAAAATTTTCCAAATTCGTCTAACAAACCGAAATACTACAAGTCCTTAAAGAGAGCGGTTGATATGGAGAGCGCCGGTGAAAACGGTCCTACCAAAGCTATTCTCGGCAGAATTCGTCTTTGAGGCCAATTTTATCGAATAAATTTGCAAAATTCCTCTTTGTAGCTTTAAAGGAAAAATACATACAGATAAGATGGACAGACAGACACAAGTCGATATAGGGAATGATACGTATGATATGTTAAGGCCTACATTCGTAAGCCCTACGCAAGGTTGCCTACATTCGCGAAAGACTGTAGGTGATGTAGACATTTTACATATTTGGCTTAGCTATTTCATTTTTGGCCGTTTAATAAAAAAAATTGAATTCCCTAAATATCTTAGATCAATTGATTGCTTTTATTTTGACTTATAGTTATACCTTTTAACCTTAAGATAACGACAATGAAGTATACAGCGACAAAGGTACACATGGGTCGCTCTCTCTGTCTCTCTCTCTCTCTCTCTACATCTCTCTCTTTCGGCTTAATTAATAACATGGTAATCAGCTTTAAGTACAAGCGTATTGAGACACTTGAGAAATTGAATAATGCTGATCTCTTTTGCATTTTAAGTGTTATTAAGTGTTATCTGAACAAACAACACCATATACTTATTCATATATATCATCTCTAAAGCATGCGATGAGCAGGTGGAATTGAAATTAATATCGCTGGTTATTTTTGAAATCCTTTTTCATTTCCTTTCTACTATACACATTGATTTCTGTGCTGGAGGGTGAATGCTTTTCAATTGGGATTTTGTCAAGCGTAATAATTAACAAAAGAAAACCGCTTACAATAATCATACAATACGTAAAGCTAAATCTAAAAATACAAACTAAATGACAAGTGCTTACGCTTATGGGGTTAAATGGATTTCTTTCCTCGAACTATTTTTTACCATACAACACTTTTATGGTGTAGCGTAGATAAACTTTGTGCGGATGTATATAAACTGCAGAGGTTAGACCCATTTTTTATATTACCACTCGATCCACAAGCATTTCCTGTCGTGAAATGAAACTTTCGTTGCAGGTATCCATGTTAAACACTCCATTCGGTATCATACTCTTACAAAATCGATTGAATATCGTTAACTCATTTCCTATTCTTCTACTCAGAAAGTACCTTACGCGAAAGATGCGAATAAAGTACACAACGAAAGAATGCAAAATTGCTCTGTTTGGGTCACTGCACATACCCTTCTCATTCAACCTATATTACGTACAGACTGAAATGGTAATAATACTGGGTCTTCGCTTTAATAACATTTTTAAGATTTATTGAATTAGATCAAAAATCATTTCAAGGAAATTTTTGAAGAGACTAAGCTCTTTGGGAAAGAAAACAAAGTATTAGTTAGGTTGAGTCATAAATAACTTCCGATGCAGTTAGGTAAAATCTATTGTTCGTATTTACCAGCTATAAGTCGCCGAGTTTTATCTGGTTGATGTTACACTGAACAGTTTCTTTTAACCTCTAAAATGGGGAGTCTGAAAGCGCATATTCGACATGTGATGCTTTGGAAATTTGGACAAGGCAATAGTGATAAGGTTGTCGCCCGCGGAATACTTCAATGCTTCCTGGACAAGTCATTCTGGCCGAAGGGTACTCTGGTAAGAGAATTTACATTTATCGCTAGCAAAAAACGAGTTATGCAATCCCTTAGTTCTAGAAGGAGCAAGGTTCGCGATTTGTGTACCACTGTGACATGGACAAAACTCGAAATAAGTTCAGCTGAAATTTTTGGCCAGAGTATCAAGTGTTCAGACGTGATAGTTCCAATAGAAATCCCACTGGTGCCTTGATTGCTGTTCTTTGTTGCAATTTCTGTTAATTTGTTTATCATCCCTAATACGAATAATGCCGAGTTTATTTGCGTTCGCCTGATGTCGTCTAAATTTACTTTCACATTCCTCCATCGTCTAGTTCGGCCATCTATTCACAGCACGTGACTGTCATTTGGGAAGTGTTCGATTCGATAGCTTCTAATAATCTATGATCTATCATTCTGGGTGAGTTCAATATTACGACTTTAGAATGGAATCGCGACCATGAGGGTGTTTTATATCCCGCATTATTCGGTATGAATCCTTCTTCGAAGACATAGGGAATCTGGGCTCGATGCAGCTAAATATGGTACATAATTCTAGTCACAGACAACTGGACTTGGTATTTTCGAACATAGTTCATTTATCAATTTGTCGCACCCGTCCCTTATTTAATGCGGAAGATTGATTTTATCCGACAATTCTTATGTCGGTTGATATTGTGTTTCGCAAACAAATTAATCCTAATATCAAGGTAAATACTATTTTTTTCATGCCACATGGATCATTATATATTGAGTTAAGTGTAGTAAGCTGGGATCCCCACATTAGTGATCTTGTTAGTGGTTTAAATTGCCTTTATTACACAATGAATGTCATTTCTCGGGTTTCGTGCCTCTTAAGTTGACCGAAAGTATGCTTAGGTGGTCTCCTTGGTGGATGAAAAAGCTTAAATGCCCCACAAACCATCGAAATAGACTGTTTAAAGAGTTCATAGAAGCATTTGATCTGAATTCTTTTTCAAGTAGGGTTGGAAAATTTCTCGAACCGCTTTACATTGATCTTAGTTATATGAATATTGATAACTACCCCTATAATATTGAGAATGCTTCACAGTTTTTACAAAATGAAATTCTCGGACTCTAAAATTTTAATGCCCTATATGGGCAAAGATTTTCATGTTTCACCGGTACAAATGGCATTCTTTCGAGGGTTCTAATCAGTTGCGCGGATGTTTAAGTCAAACCGATTAAGTATATCCTTAATCTTTCTGTGTCTTGTGGAGTTTTTGCAGATATCTGGAAATGCATTTATTTTTTAACGCAGCGTAAGTCTGGCAATCGACAATCTATTGAGAATTACAGAGGCATTGCGAAACTTTCCGCTTTGGCTAAATTGATGGAAGAACTTGTTACAAAAGAATTAGTTAACAATGTTAAATCAGTTATCCCATCTTGCCAACATGGCTTTCTGAACGGTAAATCTACTGTCTCTAAACTCTTAGAATTTGCTTGGCACGTCTTTGACACATTCAACAGTTGCATGCCATAGTAAGGCGTTTGACAAAGCTAATCATGAGTTACTAATTTTTAAGGTAAAAAAAATTGGTTTCAGTCACGGTTTAGTCACGTAAATTGGTTTCCTTCTCATCTTATGGATCGTATCCAAAGAGCGTTAATTAGATCGTACCTGTCCGGGCGGGCATATAATGATGAAATCTGCAGTCCAGGTCCACTGTTCTTTTGTTCATTTAGAAATGATTTGCCTAAAATAATAATGCATAATAAAAAGTATGCTAATGATGTTACACTGTTTCTCTACTCGCCAAGTTTAGAAGATTTCCGTCTCCTAGAATCCGATATATTTTTACTGTGGTGTCATTGAATATAAAAAAAAATGTAATTCGAGTCTAGATGAGCCTTTGGAGTCGGTATCGTTATTTAATGATTTTCGAGTAGTTTTTGATAGGAAACTGACATTTAATTTCCATGTGTAATCGGTGGTACACAAAGCGAGATCTGCACTTGGCTTCATTAAAAGGTGCGTAAGGTGTTACGAAAGATCTCCACATGGCTTTGGTAAGGCCTTTAGTGGAATATGCGTCTGCCATTTGTTCTCCCAGTTACAACTATTGCACTGATATAATTTCTTTTGTTTGCCTTGAGAGGACTGCGATCGGATAATAATAGAACATTACCTCCCTAGGAACAGTGTTTAATTTTGATCCATTTACCAACTCTTGAACGCGGAAAGTTGGTGCATGGAATAGGGTTTTTACTGAAACTTATTTAAGTGAATATTTCGTCGCCAATATTGTTTGGTAGACTTGATTTTAATATTCCTACAAGGATCAAGGAATTTCATTCTTCTTCTGTCGCAATGTAGAAGTAATTGTGAAGTCTTTTCTCCTTTCCACGTCCTCTGCAAGCAATTTAACGACTTTTATTATTTATCTTCGATGGACGATTCCAGCGATTATGTGAAGTCAACCTTAAAAAGATTCCTCAACTCAACGTAATTCGGCTCAGGATCCGTGATTTCATTTTCTGTAAAACACCTACAAATGTTATTATGTAGCTTTGTTTGTCTCATTCATTCTCCTTCTTCACAAACCGATAAGGAATGCATTGTTCATCTTGGTTATTTACTTGGTTTAAAAACTGATGCTTGCTACTTAGGTGGTGAGACTAACTTTAATTGCTAGTCTTAATTTAAGATAAATATTTTACTCTTAATTTATAATCATTTTTGTTCATATTCTCTGATTGGTTTATCTTGTATGGGCTATATTAGCTAATTAAGTAAATAAATAAATAAATATTAGCTCTGCTCTCTTGCCAAGTCAGGACAACGTAAACCTTGAACTTTGTCAACGAAGACGATTGAATCCTTTCTTGACAATCGTCGCTGGCAGTCTGAGCAACTTTTTTACCGTTTTCGAGGTGGAATTGCAAAATAAAGTACAGTCGTACGGTTACTCATTTTCGAGGCAGCACGATATCTCATATGAAGATGAAGTTTACCTAATTATTAGACACAAATTTCAGTTATGAATGGCCAATGGCCATTTGGAACGACAACGATATATCGTTAGAAGAAAACGCGAAATTGTTTTGTATGTTTCCTGTCTATTTTATGTACTAACATGCATTCATGTTCGCCGCTGTCATCTTTAAGAAACTTATTTACGTTTGAAGGTTTCGTTATCCCCGCTTGAAGGGATCTCTTTTACAGAATTCATATTAATCCTTAGTAAGGTGAACTGTCTGCCCTCTTACCTAGTGCCAGATGCAGCGAACTTGAGCGATTGTTTTTTATTAATTTTTTTAGTTCTAAATATTCAAATAATTGAAGCGATTGTTTTGAAAACAAATGTTTAAAAAATTATATTTTGTCTTTTTTACAATTTTCTAAATTTTTATTTTTATTTGGAAGCCTATTATTACCTATTAAATTGTTGTTGTTGCTGTTTTTGCTATTGTTATTATTATTAGAAACAAGCAGCAAAATAACCCCAAATTGAGGTCATATCCTTTGTACTTTTAACTAATTGCAACGTCCATTCCGCTTAAAAAGACACGCACGCACACGACCAAAACTAGTCTTATGTATATACAGCCAGCAGCAGTAGCACCAGCAGCTGTATAATAAATTCATTCACAGCTGCAATCGCACATACGCGTCCACGCCATTCATTCACGTAGAGTGTATATGTATATGTATAACTTTATATGTTTCACACACGCAAAGCAGGCGTTTGTTTCCATCAATTCTCTAGATTTTGCCATTTTTTTTTCTTATGTTTTCTTTATCGTGAAAAACTTAAACTAAACAAAGTTTTTTTCTCTTTTGCAACAATTTTCCTTTCTTTCCTTTTTTTGTTTTTTTTCTTGTTACTTATTATTTAAAAAAATATTTATCATTAAACATTTTTTCCCGACACCGCGTTATCCTGTCTGCATGGCACGTTCGTTAGCTTATGAAAATTGGGGCAAAAGCATCATAACATTTTCTTCTTGCCGTTCATTTTGTTGTTATTGCTATTGCAAATTTCTTGATTGCTTTTGCTTTACTTTTATTTAGAATGTGTTTGCTCTCATTATTGTGAACTCACACATTTTCCTTATAACACTTTGCGGTTTATTAAGCATTTAAGTCGTTTTATCCGCATTTTAAAGTCCGTTTAGTTAGAGAGATTACGCGCAACTAAGTTTGCCATGCAGTGGACGTTGCGTCTGCACGAGAGTAATTTGTGTAAAAGTTTTTGAAAAAAGCTTTTTTCATTTGCTTGCAAAAAACAAAAACAAAAACAAAAAAAAAACATGGCTTTTATTTATACAGAGGATGCAAGTTTTTCGGAGTTTGATATGAGGGTCATATGTTGTGTATTCGGAGTAAGCGGAAAAGTGTACTTTTCTGCTTGACGGTTGCTGGCAGTAAGGAAATTTGAATATGTTAATTACAAAGTTGAATAACTTTGCCTGTTGAGCATTCGTTCATCAACTTTCAAGAATGTTAAATGTATTGAATCGTAAGTATAGTCTCCATCAGGCTTCGTCTGCGAAAATTCTTTACTTTACTCCTTTAATCCTGTAAACAAAACCGCAAGATGTATTAGCTTGCGAACTCCTAAAGTTCCTTTGGATAAGCTTAGGCAAGTTTATATATATTATTGATCTAACAGCTCGAATATTTTTCCGTTACTTCGGCGCAAATCTAAAGTCAAAAATCACGATTCGGTTGTCAAAAACAATATGAAAGTCAATAACCAACAAGTAGGAAAATTATATTATGCTTTGGCTCAACCTGTTGCTGCAGAAGAAGGCTAAAGTTAATACTACTTTCTTGCTCAGAATTCTTTATCTCTATCGTTCTGGCGTTGTCATGACTTGCTGCTCGAAATATTCAATAATTTCGCTGAATTCTTTACAAATCGCTAAACACTTGTTTTCATTATCACCTTAGCAAGTGCAATGATTAGCTAAATACTTTTTACAATCATCATAAGAAGTACATGTTAGGTCAAGAATAAGTTATTTATATGCTTGTAAGGCATACCAATGCATACCGCAGAGTCAATAACTTAATGTATAGCTTTGATCGCTATGAAAGATGGAAATCTTTGGTCCATGCCTGTCTAACTGTCCATCTCTGGAAAATACAATTGTTCTTTCATAATCTTGTTTGAAAAATTTATTTTTACCTATCTGGCTAGGCTTATAAGCAAACTAATTAATTGGTCTTTGGGTCCGTACTTGAAGCGAATAAGAATACCTTTAGATTACTTGTATATCCGTCGTTAAAGCTAGTAAGTATTTAGCCATCAACCTCGTTAGGGAAAAAGCTAACGTATGCCTCTACTTTCATTAAAATTGTACATCTTTTAATTTAGAGACTTGCGTTAGTATTGAACTTTTTCTTCTTAAAACCGTCGCGTTTGAAAATGAAAAAAAGTGGAGTATAGGCTCACCCATAATTACCGATAATCCGCAAACAAAAGACCGGCACTTTTTACCTATGTTTATAGACCTATAAGGTGTCGCTAAAGTCTGCTTATGTATGTTATATAGTTTGTGATATACCGTCTACAATCCGTTTTCAATGAATCTTCTAATTAAGGGCTTTTATTGCACTTCTGGTATTCTGCTTGTTACTTAAAATAGAAGAAAGAAAAATGCTTTAATAGGTTATGGGCCATCGTCAAACATCCCACACCACCCTACGCCATATTCACTGAGAGCGTTCGCCTTTGTTCCAAAATAGAGACGTGTTTCAACTATCTTCGAAATACCTCAAAAATTACGACAGGTGGACGGAAGGACGGACATGCTTAGATCGACATAATAAAAATTGGGTCTACCTCAAGTCCTTCCAAGTGCTACATTCCACCACATAAACTTATTATATCCTTGCATCGACCAGTGGTACAAGGTAAAAAAATGAAAATTTAATAGTTGAGGAATCGTTTCTAAAGATTGGAGACTTCTGTTATCATTAATTGCTCAAAATTTAAGATTTATTATAATATATTAAAATCACCATCACCAACCTTCTTAATATGAACCCGAAACGTAGAGTGCTAAGATATCAGAAAGAAAGTTTGGGAATTTTGTAATATTTCGTAGGCAGGCAACTTAAAGATGAGATGAGCGCATTTTCCCACTGCAAGGCATCGGTTTATTCATTTCACTTATTTATAAAATGCTTCTCTTAACTACTGAGTACTCAAGCTCAAGTCAAGAAGACTACGTATAATCCCCGTTACAAACTAAGTCGCACGCATACATATGTCATTAAAACGGATTTTCGTGAGACTTCGAGTTTGATTATATTAAGAAACGATACGAAATTTTGTAAGCGAGTCACCCGCGCTATTCTTTTGCAACAAAATGAATTTTCAGTCTGCTTAAGAATTTATTACGCGATAGTTGTGTGCAAAAATAAATAAAAAGCGAAGACGAAAAAAAAATAAATAAAAAATGAAATCACTTCAAAATTACAAAAAACTTATCTAAAGTTCAGCATATTATTATTATAAGAACAGTAATAACGGTTTTCGAAGCAATTAATGATAGCATGATAAATCAAAAAGCATAGCTATACTTATATATATTTAAAAAAAGGGCACAAAAAAAAAAAAACTAAACAAAAATTGTGTCAAAAATTTGTTTTTTTGTTTTTTTTTTTTAAATAAATTCTTAAGGAAATCTTATCTCTTTCTTGTTCTTTTTACTGCTTAAGCTTCTTTTTTTAAAAGGTAAGTAATTGTGATTATATTTGGAATTTGGCTTTTTATTTATTTTTCATGAATTTTGTACTTTTTTTCTTTTCCGTTAAACATTTACAAGCGCATAACAAATTGTTATCAGTGCTTGACTGTGATCTATAAAAATTTTGCTTGAAATATATTTATTATTCACGCGTGCTCTTTATGCATTCAACGGTTAACTTTTCGTGTCTATAACATTTCATGTTAAACAAAAAAAAAAATATAAAGATATAAACGAAGAAAAGCAGACGAGCGGAACAACCGATTTTACCTTAAAAGGGATTCCGAAATACCCGCTATTTTAAATAAGTCTCATCCTTGCAAACGGTAATCATTTTTGTAAGTCCTTTTCACGTACAATTGAGCCACGCAACGGTGGCGGAGTCAAAAGAATTTACAAATTATGCCTGCTGATCAAGATTTACGTACGTTCCGTCAAGAGTTCGATCGGTAGCTTCAATTTTGATTCATTAAGCGAATAAGCGAAGTCTAGCGTACATATCTTCAAAGTTTCCATCTCGGTTTTTATAAGAAGAAATGGCGAAGGTTGAAAAGAGATGCACTCGAGAAGGCCAACGATGACTCACGTCCACAGTGTCCGCTACCTTTGAAAATTAGACATTTCTCAATTATTAGGACGATCATTTTTATGCGAAACTAGAAGCTTTGCAACTCTCTCAGATGTGTTGTTGTTGTTGACAGTATCCCGCAATATGCCGGACAATTGGCGGCACGCCGAAAAGTTAGAGTAAAGGTTCGACTCTTCTCAAGCATTGGGTCGCTTGTTTTTGTCAGAGACTGTAAGAACGGATTCTCTCCGACCAACCGCGGGCAACAAAACATTTGTGGTAATAGAAACGCATTTCAGTGCGAGAAAGTCTTGAATAGGAATCATAAACAAAATGAGCCCAATACTAAAGTTACCACTCAAAGGCATGTGAGCTGAATTTGAAAATTGAAGAGCAAAACGCATCCTTTTGTACTTTTTAATATTAAATTTCTTCAGTCTCAATATTTTTTTTTTTCACCATCTTAAAATGTCCGTGAAGGGCGTCGTTGCCGTACGTAAGCGCGATGGTTTCAATAGTTAAAGCGATCAGCCATCCAGGCTGGTATATGCAGCAATTTTCGGCTGTTAATCTCAATTTTCTCAAGATTCTGGCACGAGACTGGCAAGGAGAGACAAAAGAATGAGGGACAGACACGGTTAAATCAATTTCTGAAATCAGTTGTCATCATTCTATCACAATGTTTTACTAAACTTTGAGCTCTGTAGGTCAAGAGTATGCAATTAAGCAGTGTCGTCATAATTTTATTGATTTTATACTTTTAAGGACTAACGGATGGACTAAACTAAATCAATTCGCGAAATAGTTTTCCACTATTCTTTATCACTTTGATATTTTATCTAATAACAAGGGGACGAACGGACAGACAGGTAAGGCGAGACCTGCTCTAATATGTACATTCAGTATTCTCACATATTTTTCTCTTACTTATCTTTTTGGATGAAGGGTACACACGTTGCCAATATTATTATACCATTTATGGTTAGTTCGTACTTATTTTGATAAATAAGTTTTTCTAATCTCAGCATCTTACTGTCCGGTATATAATTAGTATAAATTTATTAGCAAACACATATGCATTTATTATAACTTTTTATATAGAGCGGTTTTTTTTTTTTTTCACTAACGAATGAATAGAGGATGCCTTGCAGTTATAGAAATTACAAGAAAAAAAAAAAAAAAAATGTAAAAAATCTGTATATAGCGGCACATGTACATCCATATATTATTTTTCCATTTAATGTCGATACACTTTGATCTTAAAGCATTAAACGAATAAAGCAAAAAAAAAAAAAGAAAAAAAAAGAAAATAAGAAAAACTGATAATTGTTTCCATATGTTTTAACAGCATTTAAGCGCAATAACGTGAAAAATTATATTAAATTGAAGCTGCAATCGTTTTTTATATAATCATGATAATCATTTTCAATAGTCGAACACCTTTTTCTGAAGGTGAGACAGGCTTATCACAAAGAAAACACAAAAAAAAAAAAAAAAAAAAACGAAAAAGAAAGAAAGAAATTTGTTTCAGCTCAGATCGAATCTTTTTACACCCGCGTCCTTGGTTTGCACTAAATGCATTTCATTTTGAATTTTTAAAAAATGTTTTCCATTAACCTTATCATATCATAATTCTAAAATAAGTAAATTCTGTTATAACGTGGACGCACTGTTTCGGAGACTTACAACACAGCCTATCATCCTGGCCTAGCAAATGTAACTAATATCTATGTATATTGATACACTTGGCAAAGTAACATATCCTGGCATATATAATGGTGTAATGAAAAGAAGGAAAAACATTATAGTCCGGCTAGGCCGACTTTTAAACACCCTACATCACATTGTCTAAAATAGTTGATATTTTTGCCATAGAACACAAAATTTATAGCCTGTTTTTATAGGCACATACTATATTATGCGACTGTATATTAAAAATTAGATCTATTCGCAAATGAAGTCTTGCGTTGCGATGGAATTGTTGTGCCAAGGGGGTTTAAAAACTTTTTACTATTATGGGTTAATTATCATCGTAAAATATTAAAATTTACACTTTTTTTCGCTATAAACGATACAACACAACTTTTCAAAAGTTCATGGACAGATATCAAGTGAGCAGATGAACAGGCGGGCTTCATAATCAGTTCAGATTATCATTTTGAATCGATCGGTATAATAAAAGGTGGGTCTATCTTATGCCTTTCTGCCTGTTATATACATCCGTATTAACTCAATATACCCTGTACTATACCATAAGTGGTGTAGGGTATAACTAAACGTAAAACGTATAATTTAACCCTCTCACGACGACACGCTGATATTGCCCTTTGCGTCCTTCCACGACGACGCAGCTGAAAGATACTTTGCCCTCAAATACATCACTATCAGCAAGTTCCACACATAGATGGCGCCAGCCGCTTTGATCCATCAATTGGTTGACATATATCTACGGTATCTGTCGCGAAAGGCGTTGGTTTTTATTCTTACGCTAATACCGCGCTAAAATAGAAGAAGGGAACTAAAGTAAAACGTGCAATGACATAGTTTTAACGATCGTTAGTAGAACGATCGCAGAGTCAGTGAATCTTATGATTCTGTTTCAATGGGTGTTTCAATGATTTACCTCATCCAACTGCAATAGGCATTCTAAAAAGAAGGAAGCGGTATTTACAAATCCGATCTTCACAAATCCGACCTAGAGACCCCTTAACAATTTCAAGCAATGTAATGCATGTAATGTAAGCCTTGTGGAACACCGCAGACTACTTCTTATTCATTTTCAAAGTATTATTACTATTATGTACTTGGTCTGAATGAATTGGTGGAAACTAAAAAATTGTTAAGCGTTCACTATATATTCCACATAAAGCACATTTTTTTAAAGCGCTTTTAACCTCAAAGGGTCGAATAGAAAGCATATAGTTGAATATCTGATAGCCTTGTAAGTAACCCATATAATGAGATTATATTTGAGGATCGCTTAGCTTACAAAGTAATCGTTTGAAATCAGGAAAAATGTATTTAAATTTAATTACGTAAAGCCTAGTCAAGAATTTCAGTTTTTTAAATTACTCGAGAATTAGTTACGAAGAATGCTAGAGAAACGAATTACAATTTCTCAAACCAATCAAACTACTCGTCATGGTAAAAGAATTTTTTTAGCATAAGTTATGTAAATAGCACTCTATGACAGTTCTCTCTTTTTCTGTGCGAAGCCAAGCAATAGCGATCGATTCGAACCAACAAAAGGCAATGTGTTCACAATGCAGGAAATCATAAAAATGGAAAGTGCAAAATCCTTTATTAACGATGTGGCAGATTGGACTTTAATTTTTTTTTTTGGGTCTACCTCTGATATATCTCCGCGTTCTTGACGACGGTCGCAGAACTTGTGATGGAATTGTGCGCAGACATGTTCGCAAAGGAATGTTTTTATCGATGTTTTGTAAAGCAATTTAAAGTCTTACAAGCTTCGCATTGATGTTGAGCTTAATATTTAGATACTAAGCTATAAAAGAGCCGGCGGAGGATTGTTTTCAAATGTACAGCAAATAATAATAAAAAAGGCCCTGCCAGGCATCTCCACATTTTTTCGTCGATATGTTTACATAATTTTATTGGTTTTCACAATGAACATTATTCAAACATACACATGTACAATTATTATTGCATTTAGTATGGAGTATGGCTTGAAGTTTTCTCGAAATAAACGACGGGCTAACAAGGGAAGCTCAAAACATCTCCAAACACTATTCGAAAAAGCCGAAAGGAATAAGAAGGTATTCTTTCGAACGACTCGAAGGTGTTTATTGTAATGAACAACTTAATATGCCTTCGCAAGGAGATAGTATGAAGACTTGCTCTATTTATATGTTCGTTACTCTTTAGATGGAAATACAATGTGTATAAAGTATAGGAACTAGTGCAGATAATTAAGTAATGGCGTACTTCCAATGGATGGTGTTGCCAGACTGTTGCCAGATTGTTTTGATATTCGATCGAATTGGTCTTAGGACTGGTTCGGTCTTATATTTTGCGATGGAATTCCTACACTAAATATATACAAATGGTTTTTGTGTATTATCGGTTGCGGCGGCTTTTTAGCTTTTTCTTCTTATATAAATTCAAAACAAAACAAAGTACAATTTTTTTTTTTTGCAAATATTTTCCAATTTCAATTTGTCTGATCTTTCAAGTTAGTCACAGTGATCTTAGGCAAAAAAAAAAAAAATCTAAAATAATAACAAAAACAACTAAGCGTAACTGTTTTGCATTTATAGCAAACTTTTTTGCAATTAATTTCTTCATTAGTTTGCTTTAATTAGTTGGCCGAGAATGTGTTGGTGGCAGACATAAGCATTTATACAAAAAAAAAAAGAAAAAAAAAAGAAGATTGATAAGATTTCTATTTTCAAAGATTTTGAATTTTTTTTTTTTTTAAATAAATCAAAGGTTAGAAAAGTAATATTTAAATTTTATTTATTTATTAATACCAAATAGTTTCATTCGGGAATATAGCTGAATATAGTAATCGACGAGCCATAGAATAACAATCGATAGACAATGATTGCCGGCAAAGAAAGTTCACGAAAAAAGAATTCGCAAACGCGTAGTGAAGCGCTATACAATAAATTACATACATGGACTGAAAAATGTGCGGAAACTACTATCGGCCAATTTCTTATAGAAATGACCGATCGAACGTTGAAAATTGTGGAAGAAACAGCCAAATGGAGTTTGCCGCGAGGTAAGATAATATTATATACGATATATATATATATATATATTATATATCTTCAAGTATCTTAATCTTTTTTAATCACATTTCTTCGCTTTCTTTCGTTTAGAAGAGAATGATGCCAAACTTGTGCGTCCCTTGCCATGGATACTCTTCTTCGCTCTCATAATATGGTTGCGAGCGTTACGCATATTATTTACGACGGCGGCATTGGTGATGGGTAATAATGCCATTACTCCACAAGTGGTTGTATATTTCATACAAGATCAACGCTGTAAGCTACAAGCTTTACGTGCTCGAGGTTCCAAATCTATAAAACAGAAAGGAAGCGAATTAACAGCGAATCCCGATAATAAATTATCTCTCCCGGTTAAATTGGGTAAATTATTATCGCGAGCTATATGCCGGCCCGGTTATATAAATGAAATTCCATCGAGTAAAGTTATAGTACAGAAACCTAATGTTCAGATAACGGAAAGCGACAGCACGGTAAGTTATCATACCTTGAATTATTATTTCTCTGTCATTATTAAAAAATATTATGCACTTTTAGAGCGATAATAATGCTTGCACACCAGTTATGGAACGCGAAGATATTCATTTTCGCTTGGGCGAATTATTGAACAAGTACGCCAATAGGCCTTCCGATGACGATGATGATCCTGATTATGTGCCAAGCCCTCGCCAGTTGAAGCGGACATCTTCAGCATCTAATTCGAGCGACAGTGACAATGAAAGTGAAACAAGTGATCTCCTGATGGTAAGATATTTCATAATTTTTCTTCTCTCTGATCAAGGGATAGTAAGAATAAGTTTTTTTCAAATATTGTAATAAAATGCCTTTCTTCCGACATTACGCTGCTAACAAGAGCTATTACTTCACCATTATGTGTCGTTATGTGAACTTATTCGCCCGAACTATGCAATGATTAGTTGCGTTTTTTTGCAGAGCGCTTTTTGCTATGCATTACCTCTTCGGCACTTCTTCGTTCCTCGTTAGTTTCATTTCAGATGAATTTCGAATCTCAATAAACCCTTCCAGAGACAATCGTTTCAATTAGAGACTAAAAAACAAATTGAAAAGTTGGCTTTTCTAGATAATCTCGTTACCTTCTGCAAATGTAGGCGTGGAATTTCACAAAGATATTCATTAAAATTCATTTAATTTAATGTTTGGATGATCCCCATCAGACAGTCTTAAAGCCTTGTACCAGATATTTCATTAAATTTCATTTCTTTATCTATCCTTCAGCTGTATATAATATATAGAAATCTTATCCATGAAATATTAGAAATTAAAAATTATTGTTGAAAAAGGCTTTAGATCATTTATCATAAAATTTGATTTCATTCAATAAAGTGCGATTCATGTAAATATTAAGTATCTGCACTCGAGATATCTGTAGTTTTTACGAAGATCATCCATTTGTTTAGTTACGATGCTCTTAAAATTTAAAATAAAAAATTGGATTGTGAAAATATCAACTATATGTAAGGGGGCGACGTTCTTATTTGAATCATGATTGGGTCTGCAATAGAGTGTTCAACGACGTCTAACACTTGTCCATTCACCGCCATCATCTCCGGATTTATTTTCTTTTTTGTGTTGAATTCTTTTGGGCTTCTCCTTGTCATCCCGGCCAGCAGGGCGGTCAGTTCGCCAACTACCAGAATCTCGGTCTCGCTCACGCTTGCGGTCAACTTGACGGCGCTCACCACCAAGATATTTCTTATTACTCATTTTCTACACCAGTTATGGGAAAAGAGTACACTAAGTTTGTCCGCATGTATACAACACTCAGAAGGAGTTTAGATAGACTTACCTGATTATGCCGAATTCAGAATATAATTCTAATCCAGCTTGTTTGCCCGTTTGTCTGTCTTGTATTCTTGTGTTCAATGCAAACGGTCGCAATTTTGAGATATTATGATGAAATTTGATAGGCCGAAGTTTTCGATCCAACGACGAACGTTATTGAAAATCGTTCGAATCGTTTCGATTACGTCCTGTATGACGATTTATTTTCAAAAGCCGTCAAATGAATATAACTGCGAGACGGTGTAAGGTATTTAGCTGTGGGCTGTGGCACACTATGGTGGTTTTTCTTAGATTGGCAGCGAATTAATCCATAGCTATGCAGATTTCAAGCCAATATTTTTATAAGTTAGCATAATATGCCCGTTCAGTTCCTTCGAAGACAAAAAATGCATTTTCAAAGCGGATATTATCTCTTTAGTCGCAAGAATCTAAGTCAGCGAATAAGAAGGGAACCAAAACGAAGCAAAAAAGTCGACAATCATTATATTGGTCACTTGGGACGATTTTTTTGAACTCAAACCTTTAAATTAATGCGACAATCGCTTTCACCGTCAAAAGTGAAAAATATATTCAGTACAAATTGGAGATTGTTGATGAATATATGGGAACTTGCATTGGCACAATGGACTTTGTACACCACTTCTAAGACAAGGGTACCAAAGCTTGTCTAACCGTCCGTCTCCCGAAGACGTTATTGGGTGGTTTAAAAATTCCTACAGGCAACCTTACGTCGTTACACTTATCAGTTTAGTAGCTATTATTATACCCTACATCGCTTGTGGTACAAGGGTATAAAGAAAGACTTGCCATAGACCCACCTTTCCGTATACCGGTCGATACAAAATCATTTTTCGCACCGATCTAAGCCTGTTTTTTCCGTTTGACGTTTCTTCAAGTATTTTTGATCCATGAACAAACGCTATTAGAAATGATTCGAGTCGGACCAGTTTTCCGACCATTTCCAATGTAAGACTTTATTTTAAAAATTCCTTATATGAATAACTGTTTTCAACGAGGTGATGTAGGTTATTTAATGCTCCATTTTGGCCGATTATAATATAATTACTTGTTTTTACGTGCCAAAAAATAAGAGATCTTTATAACCTTGAATCAAAATATAAATGAATTTTCTTGTTTTTTTTTTTCTTCTAGGAATTGCAAGAGTTGGTCAATGACAAGGGGAAAGTTACGACACTACCGTTAAATGAGAATAGCATGCCACAAAAAAAGGCAACGGAATTGCGAGAAAATGGTTCAGCCTCACAACAATTACGTTCGCCTAGTCCACGCATTGAATACGATAGGGAACCTTTAACGAACACGAACCGGAATGTCAGTCATCAGATTCCCATCATTACAAAAACATTTGAAACTAATAATATAACCGAGGAGGGGCGTGTCACTTCCCCAATGAAATGCGAAGTCGGTAATGGCTATTAATTCATTTACTTTATATAAAAAAATAAAATAATAAAATAAAATAAAAATAATCATATACCTTACGTACAAACAAAGCATAAATATTTCTAAAATACGAATTAAGCGAAATTTTTGTTTTTTTTGTTAAAATATTTTTGGTAAATAAAAACTTTTGGCTTTGGAATGAAAACAACGAAACTAAAGAAACACTAATAATTTCAAAATTTATATAAAATCATAGAGAACATGAAATTTTTTCAAATAGTTCCAGATGTAACATCAAACAGTCAATCACCACAAACCACTATGTTGGTGACTCAGACGTCTATAGACGAATCGAAAAGTACTCCTGGTCATGAAACGGCAGCCACGCTAAGACCACCGGCAATTCGTGCCAGCGCTTTAGCAGGTTAGTAAAGAAAGTATTAATATTTTGTCTACTTTGCACCCAACAACAAGGACAAAGTTCTAATAAAGTTGAAGATAAGTCGCACCATCAAAGATACGATTTGCAGTCATCGGTTTGTAGTATAAATACATTTTTTTTGGATTTAAGTATAAGATATAAAGACTTAAAGTTCGTCCGTATCTTGCTGGATTTCCCACAATTGCAAGAATTGTGTTGGAAAGCTTCAATGCTAACATGTAACCAATAAAAAGGGCTAAGGCCCACATTTATTACATATTTAACATCCTTTACGATCCTACAGTTATTCATAAAACGACTTTTCAGATAAGGCTTCATATGGGAAGTGGTTGAAAAAATGGACCGATTTGAACTATTTTCACTAGCATTCGTCCTTGGGCTAAGACACGTCAATTCCGCCAGTTCATCCCAATGCCTCAAAAATTGGGGTCTATCAGTTGAACACAAGAAAACAAAATGGATAGACGGACAGACAAGTGTACGTACAATAAAGGTTGGCTTTAACTCAAGCCCTCCTGGGTGTTGTACACATCTGCCCAAATATACCCAGGTACTACACGCGGTCTACTTATCACAAGCGATGTCGGATATAAAAAGAAACATGACTTGCAAAGGTGGCTGGTGTTGTCAATTGTCTCCCGGCTATAGCAGGTGTTGACGTAAAAGTAAGTTGCCTGAAAGACGACCAAAAAAAAAGATAAATTTCGATCGATCAACCGACAAGGGCGATAAGAAGGATAATAAACGAAATGCTTTTACAATCTTTGAGGTGTTGATGGATGCGTAAAGTTCGTCTCCGGACGAATGTGTATTAATAACTTTCTTATCTTTTTTCCTTATCTCTCTCTCTCTCTCTCTCTCTCTTATATTACTGTTTAACTTGTAGTGTTTGATATTTTAATTTTATCCTATATTTAATTTTGCGGACCGTTACAGTGTCTTCCTTTAATACTACCCCTACATCAGCATCGCAATCAAGCCAAACTCCTATCGATGTAGATTTTATTGTAGCAAATAATTTAGAAAAATTGGAATGCGCGGCTACTTTAACATGTGCATCGTCATCCGAAGATGTATTTTATAGCCCGATTGGTTTGTTTTTTTTTATAAAATTTTCTCTAATTTTAATTTGCCAACAATTCGTTTTAATCGCTTAAACAGCACAAAATTTTCATCTCTTTTTTTTTTTTTTTTTTTTTTCATTTAAAAAAACTCTGGTCTGGTTTTCTTTCACATCAACCATTTACTTTTATTACTAGAAACACTAACAATTGTAAAGAAAGAAAAAAACAATAAAAAAAATAAAAAAATATTTACAATTTTCTTTGTGTTTAGGTTCTCCACAAACTTTCTACAATGCATTCTATCCATCCTCAGTTGTCGAGATATCTCCTTTAGAAGGTAAATTCAATTGATTTCTTGTCACTTTTTCTTTTCACATAAATGAAAACATTTTTCTCTGATTGCAGGCGCTATTGCTCCAGCTAATATTACTACTGCTGCTGCCAGTAAAGACGACTTTCGCGAAAATAACGAAACATCTACAGGGCATTGTACGCAACCCAAAAAGGTGCCACAAAAGACAACAACTAATCACAATTCAACGAAATCTCATTATCATCATAAAAATCGTGGCAAAAATCGTCGTTAAATTGTCTTCAATTATAATAGACATTTAAATATAAATTTACTCAAACCTTTGATTATAGTTTATAAAGAGAGTTGTTCTACAAAGTAATTTAAAACTCTTTTATCATTTTTGCATAAATTTAATGAAATTCTTTTTGCAATTCTTTTGAAATCGGCAAACCTCTTAAAAAATGCTTAATGGCATAAGATTGCATGCTGCTGATGCTTTATTGATATTATTTAGTTCAGTCATGTCATAGTTGGCAAAGTTTCATTGTTCAGCTATGAAAAAGATTTGAAATCATTTCCTACTCAAAACTTGATTGATTGACTGATTTTTACAGATCTTCTCCAAACTGAATAAAGGGATTGTTTCTATTTAGATTCCTACAGAGATCAAGTTAGTTTTTAAGTTTTTAAATCATTTGAAATTCTTTCACAATCAAAAACTCAAATATCAATTACGAGGTCTGGCTACTTTTGGAGATGCTTTCCAATATAGACGAATGCATTACTTTATCTAAATTCCTACAGAATTCGATGTTGAGTTTTTCAGTACATTTCCCTCCTTAGTTAGTTGGTTTTTCTTTTCAGATGCATGTGCTAGGTTGGGATTGATTATTATACCCATCACGAAAGGGTGAGGGGTATATTCACTTTGTAAAAACGCTTGCAACGCGCAGAAGGAAGCATCAGAGACCCCACAAATTATATATATTCTTGATCATCATCAAATTCTAAACCGATTTAAGCTTAGCCTTTTGACTGTCTGTCCGTCTGCGTCCGTCAAAAATGACTATCGACTTCAAATTTGGCAGAAACCGTGCAACACATTGCACGCAGGTTGGTATTGAAAATAGGCCAAATCGGTCGAAAGACACGCACACAGCATCACCTAAACTGTTCATTATTCATAAACTATAGCAAATGAAAGTACATCGATTCTTTGGCCGATGGTGTGGCGCTTGTGTACAAGTGGAAAAAATTGATCCCAATGTTATAGAGTACCAAAGTTAATTATTTTTTCAATACCTTTATAACGCGCAGAAACAAGCTTCAAAAAACCCTCAGAGTATATAATTTCTTTGGCAGTTTCATTTTGTATTTGGAGTGCACCTAAAGTAATCCGTCAAGCCAACGGAAATGGTGAGCTCGAGCCAGAAGAAAGGTATGCCTGCTTGGTGGTTAAACCATTTCCACGTTGACTGTCGTGTGTGTGGTTCAAGACATTTTTCACAAGTTTTGAACTCGTTTGCTATCAACCGTCACATACATCCACTCCTTCTCCACTTAATGGCGCATACTCATATGTGACGGACGTTCCTGCAAACATTTCTAAAACACGTTTAAACATCTTGTGAATTGAAAAGAGTTGTTACGTTTTAAAACTGTGGGATCAGCTTATAGATGTCGACGAGACTTACGAGATTCTTAGTATCGAGGGGATTAAGGGGAAAATGAATGGAGTTCTTTTTGATTTAGAGTACACAACTTTTGTTGTGGTTTATTGTTTTTTTAATTATTTTTTTATTAAATTGAAGTTATCTCTTAGGAAATTCACTAAAGCAAAAAAGTTTTGGGACATTTTTTCTATTATCGAAGCGGTTCAAATTGAAATTTAATTTCACCGCACGGCTTTGTTATAATATTGCTCTCATATTTTAACTTTTCCTTGCCGGACCAACTTATATGATAATTGCGTATTAAACGAGTGATTAATGTTTCAATTTCCATCTCAGCTACGCGTTTGCCAATGCAAGTACGCGGACCCATACCGAAAGGTGCGTAGACAAATGCGTTCTTCGATCTCAATCCGGTCGACTCTTCGTTCTTCAACCATCGTTCAGGTAAAAACTTTTCACTTTTCGGAAAATACTTATCGGTATTAGCTAACGGCATAACACCCATTAAAACATTGGAACCGGCCGGTATTTGATAACCAGATAAGACCAAATCTTTAATAGTTGTACGCATATTTCCAGGCGTTATTGGCATAATACGTAACGACTCTTTAAGGCACGCTCGAAGATAAGGCATATTTTTGGTATTTTCGGAGGTAAGTGGAGACCAAGGCGCCGGTAACAGCTCACAGATTTCCTCACGTAAACGCAATTGCTTCTCGGGATTAGTTGCCAACATATACAGTACACTAATTAAGGTGGAAGCTGTCTGTAAACATTAAAACAAATAATAAGTTTGAGAGCAGCATAAAGAAGTTAAAGTGTTACGATTGGGCATGACTAACGTAACACCCTACGGCAGTTCATAATGACTTTCTAGACTACTTCATTTCATGTATATCGCAAAAATAGCCGGATTCAATTTATTTTCGATAGGTTTCGCCCTTAGACTAAAACAGTATAACAGTAAAACTTGAAAGTCGACATTTGTAGATTGAACGAACGAAATGCCCGGACAGATGTTGAACGTACAGACGAGCTGATAAGTTAAAGTATAGTGGGTATTAAGCGAAGAGAGACTTTCTCTACCCATTAGCTTAAAGATCGCAAAGTTCTTTTGTTACTTGAAATGATGTCGGCTGACGGATTGAAACTGCTCTCATATGAAAGCCTTAGACAATCCCTTTAAACATTTGTATTCAATTCTTGTGGAACATTTCAAGTTCACTTCAATGGCAAGCGGATTACAGTCATTTTCAATTTTAAATTTCCTTTGCCCATTGAGACTATTTTTTTCTTTTTTGTGATCCTGAAAGTTCCACCAAAAGACAACGGCTGTATAGACATGGCCATCTAAATCGATTTGGGAAAAATAATTCATGCAGTTGAAGTGTCTGTGATGAGCAGACATAAGTCTGTATTTGTGTGCTATGTAAAAATAAAAATGTATTCACAAACCGTGTCTATGCCAGCCATTAACATGTCCATGACCATGACCAGAGCTATGTGTTTATCGATTTTCAATAATTTCTCTAAAACACTTTTTGCTTCTTGATTGCCACGGCGCTGCAATTCACTTATTTCCTGCTCTATATAACTTAGAGTAATGTCAGTGATGTTATCATATACGGTAAGAAATTCTTTAAAAGCAGGCGTGTGCACGTAAGGCCACACCGATGGCTTCACATCAAATTCGTAGGAGAATTGGAAAAAGAGCGCCATGTTATGAGCTAAAGTTAATGCCTTCTGATCGGGATTATCTCCGAATAAACCCATTCGTTTGTTTAAGGCTATAAAACTAATTGATTCGAAAGCCCATTTTTGCACTTCCTCAAGAAAATTGCATTTGATGTGATTGTCGCCGATGACGCGCATTGATTCCAATCTGCGATTTATATGGAAAAGCAAAATCTTTTATATAACTTGTAGAGATGAAGAAAATGATAAATGCAAGAAACCTTTTAGTGAATTCCTGAGCAATTACATCAATTTGTGGCAGATTTTCACGTATGGTTTGCGTTTTCATCATAATTGGATTCACTTTTGAACGTATATCACCCCATGCTTTACCCTGTCTTTGCAGAATAATTTTAAAATGAAAATATTTGTATATTATATTAAGCGGATATGAAAAAAGAAAAAAAAGCTGCTTACTCGGAAACTAAGCCGCCAATATCATGAAAGACTTCAGGACGTTTCTTCTTACGATAGTAATTAAACGTTTGCAAGCCTACACGGTATGGCCAGACACCTTCGTTCCGAAACATAATCTCAAAATCATGAGGATTGTATGTAAATACGGTATCCTCTCGACCAAAGAGACCTTTAACTAGATATATATCACCATACGTTTCACGTAACAAACGATTCAACTCCATCATATTAACGTTATAGTATTTACCTTAAGGAATAAACGAAATATTTAGCAAAATTTTGATCCATAGTACCATAAAGCACTGATATGAACTTTTACCTCCTGGCAATACTTCTTTAATTAGACGTAATCGCGACGGTCCTGGCAAAGAGTTGTATGGTAAAGCGCGTGACCATTCGGTGTCGCTTTGTTCCGCATAAGCTATTGACGATGACTTTATATCCTCTCTTGTTAACACCTGAAAGTAGTAATAACATAGCAATAGTATCATCTTAAAGCAGTGAAGAAAAATATTTTTCATTTCCTTCTCGATCGATCTTTCACTGTTTGACATCAGTTTTGCTTAGTATATTAAGATGATTAGGCAGATAATAAAAAAAAAAACGCTATTGCGTTTTGATTCTTTTCTACTTTTTGTGATCAGTTGTTCACACTTCTCTGTCCTTATACAAGATCTTATAAAGAGAAGACGACCGGAACGGATACTTTACTGAAATCTGTTTTCTGTTTGCAGAGATTCGATAATCGAAATATGAAAGTAAGAGAATTGATATTCGACAGCCGTGAGCACCTTAAGATATTGTAAATGTAATAATCATATCAATCGAGTCGACTAAAGTTAAAGCTACTTTTACACAAGTACACCTGTCTCTAATGGGCAGCTCGCAAAACTTAAGAACACCTATGCTTTCACCATTTCACCGTCCGACCCGGAAACTTCCATGAGACTCTGCGCTATATAATGTTATAATTTGTTGTAGTCATCAACGAAATATGGTTTTCATGAAAAAATTGTTCTACAAAGCATTTAGTCTTAGTTCTTCTCTGCCGTCTCTTTCAAATTTAAAGGAGATTCCGCAGTTGGAGACGGGATCTAGTAACTAAGTACTTTCCCTACGAGTTGGAATTATTTTGGTGACGCTATAGGAGATGTTCAGATTTTTGCATTGTTTTTAAAAAGAACGAACGGTCGGGCCGGTTAGTATTATCTAAAAATCATTTCAACTCGTCTATACCGGCGATATGTATACGCCATCGTATTAACTTATTGAGTAGTGTGTTTTATATGATATCTTTTCCTGAAAGGGAAAAACGATCGACTTTGAGAATGTTAATGAGCAAAAGTTCAAGAATATACTATTCTTAACAAGTGGGATCAAAGGCGACTTTTCAGGGATTAAATATTTCATTCCGTACAGACACGGAATAGAACGCCACACCTTTTTTACAAAATCGACGTTATTTTCTTTTTAAAGAAAGGAATAAATTACAATGGAATCATATTTAAATGCGGGCTTACTTCTGTAGATTGGGTATATCCTGAGGCATGCGTAGAAAAACTTTAAGAGAAACAATCTCTCCATGTTTCAAGCTTATGTATTTAAATGAAGAACGCATGGCTGCTCTAACATCATGATTACCGGTAGAAACGGGACGCCCATCTCTGCTTCAGTGTTGCCGATCGCCTATCATATTTATATCCTATATATCTTGTATTCAAAATTTCAAAAGGAAGTAAGCATGAAGTTTTTAAACCGCGCAAGCATCCATTCCCCTAGTGAGAGAGCTGCCGAGCTGCTCAGCTACTAAAATAGCGCTACCAAACTCTAAAAAATTAATTCCGATGTTGCTGTTCACATTTAGTCACACAAACTTATGAAACTTAAGAGCTACGAAAATCATTTTTTGTTCAAGTTATAAGCACACTTGGTTTGTTAGGAATGAAAATAATTATCTCCTTAGACTTTAGCACCTCTACAAGGATTGATTTGGAGTTCATTCCTTTAGAAATGATACAGAAGTCTGCGTTGCGTTCCATCATGATCATTGCTGGAATACGATTGGAGTAATTCAAATTTATCTGACATTAACGTTGGAGGTAAGTAATTTTACACTTGTATTTCACACTGCTTTCGCTTCTATTACCTCAAACTTATGAAAACCAAAACAAGCTTTGTTTCAAGATTGAATTCTATCAGCATCGCTTAAGTGGTTTAAAACCATTTGACAATTTTTTTTTTCAGAGCACAGAAAATGACTTTGTTACTTGAATTTTAGTCAGCGACAAGCAAAGATCAAAATCTTAGTAACGCCCGACAGTGCGCTTCCTCTATGTCAATAGATGGTTCTTTAATTTGCTGCTTTGCTAAAGTACTTCGGGCTGATCTCAGCGAGAAAGTGAAACTTACTATGATATGTATGGGAAATCGTTGCACTGTATGAGTAGACTGAGAATTGAAAAGATTATTTGATTCTTGTGCAAGAATGCCGTAAATACCGTAAGAATATTTCAAGAATTCCTCCAACAAGTTCCTGAACGAAAAAACGGACTTGATAGAACCAATGCCTCCTTACTTATGTTATCCAACATAAAAGTTTTCATCAAAGTATTCAACCATTCACAAGATAAAGTGCCATCCAATAAACAATACCAATGGTGGTGGATGGTTATCTCATTTAGACAGCCGAACTGTCATGTAATTAACGACGAACTTTTCTTAGATAGATATTCTCTATAATTTCTATATAATTTCTGCGATCTCTAATGTTACCTGTTGCTTTGTTAGAGTTATTATCCTTCTTATGTAACTTAGTTTTAAGTTATTTATATCGGCTGATAATTTATGTATATAGTTGATTAAAATAAAATAAAAAAAAAAAAAAAATACTTAGGGGAGTACAGCATCGCTATCGTATCACGACTGACCTTTAAATTTTCCCTACTTTGTAAGCTTAAAAGGCCATTCAACAGATGACGTTTTCAGAATTCAGAATAGATGAGGTAAGATAAGTCGAAGTCAATAAACCAGAAGGGTCTATGTCAGTGTTTTTCAAATGATTGCTATGGAATAAATATTGCAAAATATGTAGAGAAGGCTTAGTAAAATAAAAAAATTCTTTTTATATACATATTTATTTATTTTGTTTTTATGCAAATGCATACAAACAAGTTCGATATTATGCTAAGAGTGAGACTTAATGAATGTCTATTAAACAAACACACTCCATAATCTACATCTGAGATGAGTATTTAAAAGTAAATATTTAAATTTGCTTACAGCATAAAATCATATTGTTTTGATAAAATACATGCTTTGCATCAACAAAAGCTTCCTCACATAGCTATCTAATAAATTCCAGATTTGTTTTTGGTCGTATGTAGCATGCAGGAGGCCTTACGATGGACTCATCTTTTATGATACCGAGTCTAAGTCTGTCTGTCCATCTGTCCCCCTCTCCGTCTCTCCATCTGATGTCTGTCCATGTAAATTGTGTTCAAGTTAGACGTCGCAATTTTTGAGATGTTCGATGAAATTTGTTACAGTGACGTGCTTTGACCCAATCACAAACGCTATTGAAAATGTTTTGGATCGGCCCACCTTTTTTGACCACTCCCCACCTTATTCTGTAAAGTCGTTATATGGAAAAAATGTGCAATTTTCCAAATTGCTCGGCAAAACTTGTTAAGTAGTAGTATTTGGGCATAGTGAATTGGTGTGGAAACTTCGGAGCGACTGAGGCAATTTTTGAACTATCTCATAAAGCGAAAACAGAAGTTCATACGACAAAAAGGCACAATTTTCAATGCTTCATGACGAAAACTATATCATGATAGTAATTTAACAAAAAAAAATCAAATGTACTAAATTTGAACCTTATCGCTCTGTTTATTGGATCACACACTAATAAGAATTTTCACGAAAATTGACCCTTTGTAGGCGGGAAAAGTCTAGGTTTTACTATGTGGTGACGAAAGGTGACCCATTAGGTTATAGTAATTTCATATAAAAATAAACTCTACAAAATTTGGACCATCCACGACTATTTTTGGGTCCTGCCCTATGTAAGGATTAAACTTGTGCTACATTAAATTGCGTTTTGGGCCCGTTTCCCCATAGGTACGCACTTGAAAAATTTGCCTTTATATGGAAACAAGATATAATTTTTATGTTTTACAATAAAACTAACAATTGTGTTAGACCATGTGATGTAGGGTATTTGATGGTCGGCCTTGCCCGATTATAATGTTCTTACTAGTTTTTTCTGCGTTTTAAAAAGTGACACCGTAAACCGCTTTATTAAAAAAGAAGAGATATATGATAAGTTGAATTAAGACGCAAAACATATATTAATCAAGTGTTTTGTAAAGAAGACGACATCACACAACTACACATTTGCAAAGCATATTCTGGACACCCACCCACCATCTAAGTTAAATATACGATCACTCAATTGAGTGTTTTGTGAATTGCGAGAACTCGCAGTAAGATCTAATTGTAATGTTGGATGTTTTCATATGTAGAAAAAAAATCACATTTAGAATTCAATCTTTTGCGAAATATATATTTTTCAACTTCATATCGACGTTACGTTTATGATAGTGGATATCAAAAGGTGACTAGGGCGATATAATTAAATCCCTGATCAATTTCAATTGGTCTCGTTTTTGGTCCTTTATTACCGCAAACTATGGCTCCTATCAATTAGACCAACTTTTTTGCCTAATGCTGACCTTGTGCTCGTTTCGTGTTTCTTGCAAGCTTTCTTGAGTTTAAGAGATTAAATCCATAAAAATATGTGCAAATGATTTAAAAATAATAGGTTTGTATGTTTGACTTGTTTTTAGTGCCTTTGCATGTAATTGTTAGTTTATTTTTATTCATGTGAGAAAATGTGTGAATTTCAGGGGAAAAGTTGATTAAGGAAATGACAAATCAATATCACCGATAGATGATAGATAAAAGCTAACATTTTAGCAAAGATAAAATAATATTTGATTTTTTATTTGTATTGTTATAAGTTTGTGCGGACGTATGTAGTGCCCGGGCTGGATTGAGATGTTCCCACTTTTTATTATACCGTTCGATGCCGAACAATTTTCTCAATTGATTTAAACATGTCCGTACGTCTGTCCCTTCTGTGTTGAACATACAAGTCGCAATTTTTGGGATATTTTAGAGATGCGTTTTCGACTAAGGATGAATCCTACTAAAAATGGATTCGTAGCGAACGATTTTACATTTAATCCCCCCGTATAAAACACTTTATTTAGAAAAAGTCTTTATACGAAATTTGCATTTTTAAATTTTCATCAGTGTTGTAAGGTGTCTAATCAACGCCATTGCCTACTGTACTGCTTTCACTTGTCACCACTACGCTTTGAAAACGGTTCCATATAATTGTTAATATCAATGATGACGATGTGATTAAAGAGCTTTATGTCATTTATGATATTATGATTGGGAGAACTTTTTCGTATATAATTTCGGAGAGAGAGCTTTTTTTCTATAGTTCAATTTATTGAACTCATGGGAAAATCATTAAAAGCAAACTAAATAACCGGTATTTCTTTAAATTCAAATTTCAGAAAAAAAAAATGGAATTTTTTTATTCTGCTATTACTTCGTTCTAAGAACGTACGATCCATTAATGAAATCGGTATACTTTCCTTAAAAAGATGTGAACATAATTGGATGCTAGGTAAGCCTTAAGCTGGTTATTTCGATAACCAGCGCAGTTTTACTCATCCAGAAAACTTTACTATTCAACCAAAGTAGGACCTTATCTTTTAGTTCGAGTCCTCTAACACGAACTATGCCTAGTCTTCAAGGTTTGCTTAAATATGCACCATTCCGTAATTAAAAAATATTTTGCAATCAAGTCGAAGTATCGAAGAAAATTAAAGCATTATATAACGACATTGTCTAACAAAAGCAGTGTAAGTGCGGTTAGGAAAGAAAAAAAATCGATTAAGTAATTTTTTACGCGCAATTGAAGAAGTTAAGCGGAAACTACTGTGCGCTGTCATTGACATTGTGCTTTTATATTTTACTACAGTGGTCGCACATTCTGTGCCAATTTGAAAGATTTGAAATAAGTTTCATATTAAAGTTTAACTAATTTTCTCCACTTGTTTGCGAAAGTTAGACGTCCCAGAACACCGCAAAGGGAAAGTGATGAAGCGTCTATGCAAACATTAAAGTGCATTAATTCGAACATAAGCTCTCGAATGAATTGGAAAAAATAAAAAAAAATTAATTAATTAATAATTTGGAATATTAAACGGGCTTAAGAAAACAATTAACTTTCAACGAAGCAAGACTTAAAATACGTTGTCAACGTTAGTACTGCTGGACTCATACGCATCTAAATATTCGACTTATTTGCGTGTATTCGCCATGAAATTTTTTTCTTTTTATAGCAACGACTGGTCAGAGAGTAACGTAACGGTTTGCTGGTTCAACCTAAGAAACCCAAAGATGGGAGAATCCATCAAATAGCTTAGTTTTGATGGGTATTGTTCTGATCATGATCGCATGATTTTCTGTGCAGAGATGCTTTTTTTAGAAAACACATAAAGATTATGTCCATACGTCCAATTCGAGACAAGTTATACTTTATTTATAAAAAAATTTACCCTTTCTTCTTCTTCTTCTCTAATCGTTATAGAAAAATCATTGAGCAATAAAAATGTAGAAATCTTTCCTAGGTTTAGTGGACTTATCTTTTCGTCAGTGTAGTCATAGTAAATATCGATCCAGTACTAAACTCAAATATTCATTAGGTACTTTTAAAAATTCAATAACAACATGATGCTTACCGCTATCTATTAACCAACGATAAATATAAATAAATAACTTGGCCATCATCATACATATTCGCTTTAAAGAGCGGGTATCAAAGATTCGCATTAAAGTGTGCAAAAATTTTTTCATGTTTTTTCTCTATTAAACGATCGTTTGTCATTTTTTATAATATATGTTTTTAATTTAGAAAATAGTTTAAAGAGATAAGAAAATTTGGGACACAAATAAACAAAATCCATATATATATACATAAATTAATTAGAGGCGGAGAAAAAAACAAAATAAAACATAAGCCTTCATAAATAAAGTCAATTAAGTTAAGATTTAATAATTGCGCATATAGTTATGCTTAACATTTCCGCTGGAGTTTCTAAAGCAGACAAGCATTTGGTATTGAAAATGCCGCCGTCATCGGCTGATAATACACGATTAGTTTGGAAGTTTCAGATGAAAACGCATTCGTACCACAGAAAGTAGATAAGAGTCGCTAACACCAAGTCGGTGCTTGCGAGTTCAAATCTGAGCGCGGCAGAGCATGTTTGATCGTAGCAACAGTGAAGGATCAGCCAGTAAAGGCAGAATCTATCGATCGACCACACGCTCATGGCATTATGGTCATACTTTCACGCTCTAGCGCTTTCTCATTCCTCACTTCTTTCTGCCCATCACCGTGTTGCAAGAACTACGTGCGACCAATTTCCGCTTCAGATCTTTATTCCTACGACTGTAGTGCTTCCATCGTTATCGATATCGCGAAAACTAACGAAAACTAGAAAAGACTGTTTACGGGTCTCTGATTAAAGCTATTCTCATATAAGTAAAAGTTGGCAAAATTGGAACTTTGTACTCAATATAAGAATTTTTGTAAGCTCATAAGTTCGAAATTGTCATGGTTTGCTTGGTTCCCTTTTTGCTGGAAGTCGTCTACTTTTCTTCACATGCCGTCAATCAACCAAATAACTTTTAACCTTTCTACATAAAACAACCACTTAGGCGTTTTCAAATATAAAGCAGTCGTTTGTCAACCTTTCAAGTGCCAAGAAGTGATTGAAATCTTTTGGTTGTATGTGTAAAAGTTTATCTTTTGCGGAAGTTTTCTTTTAAGCGATAATAACTAAGATTTGAAGATATGCTAAAATATCCAAAATTCTTTATAATATTTTTCACTCAAACTCTTTTGAAAATAAGGTGTTAGCTTAGTCGTTGTACTTGCCTTTTGCATGTCTAACAAGCCCATTGATAGTTGCCGTTGTCCGAATCTTAATGGTACATTTTCCACGCAGTGGCTTGCAACAGAATTTTTAATATATCTTAACAACATTTTCTTCTCTTTTTGTTTTATTATAATTTTATTGTGTCTTTGATTTTCGGTTTTTTCGTTTTTTTTTTTTTTTTCTTTGCTATAGTAATTTTTTTTATATATTTAATTCTTGATTGTTCATTGCTATAGTTTGATGCAAACTTATAAAGCAGAAAATTAATTATATTAATAATAATAATAGTAACACACAGTCCCGATGTGCTTAGTTTGAATAGAACACTATAACGTCGGTCGTTCCATTTGTTTACAAGTTTAGCTAAATTTTCTATCTTATATTCATTTAATAGCAAAGCTTTTTTGCGCACATTTGAAAGTGGGAGTAGATAACAGCCGGAGAGAAGAAAGAAAAGATGAATTGAAATTTGTTTGCAGTGTCAACATAACAGAGAAATGTTCGCAAAAAAATCGACTATTAACACATTATGAAAGAAGGGGAAATAACTCTCTTATGTCAATTATTTGCTCTCTCTCTTTCTCTTTCACTTTTGCTTTTGTCTATTGCCCAACAAATATTTGAAAACTAATTGGCAACTATCCCGGCTTTGCGTTCTATCTATTACCGTTTAAAAATGAGAATAAAACAAAGACCAAATCGAAATGAACACAAGCGTCAACAGTAACGTAAGAAATCACATTCGCATTAAATCCGAGGATGGTCGAGAAATCTTGAAAAACAAAAAAACAATATATCAACAAATCATTGAGGCAAATATTTATTTACGTACACATCCATGTCTATATCATTTGCAAGTCCAAGAACTTCAAGTTAGCATGAAAATCTGAACGGATACACTTGTCTTCGTCTTATCGTCTCTATGTTTATTCTATAAATTGTTAATATCGTAAATTTTAAGTTTCTGAACGAATTTCATCTGGAAAAAGTTTATTCATTTGGGATCGATTGGATTTTTGATCATTTGCTCACTAAAATAATTCTAGTACTGAGTAGAATGCTCAGATGGACTAGGCGCACTTCATTGTGCTCCTGGCTCATTTAGAGTTTGAAGACACTCCAACACAAGCTTACAGATTATTGTTGCCCTGACTGACAGCTTGACTGTCGGCTTGAGATAGTCGAACTTTTAATTGTGTATGTATATGTATGTAAGATGTCATGTCCTTCCATCCGTATGGTCTGCTTTGATATGCATTTCTATATATCATACAAAGCTGACTATTATCGCGATGCCAACAAAGTCTCAGCTCAAACGCGAACAAAGACGAATAAAAAAATTATAATCGGCCAAAGGCGATCTAATATTATAGGTCATTTATTTCGATATACAATAGTTCTACTTTCTTAACATACAAAGCTCCAGTTATCTTAACAATCTTTTTAAGCGAACGTGAAACGTGACGTGTAGGTTATCTTTTTTGTCCAAAATCTCATTGTTTTTTAGTTCTTCTTGTCATAGGTTGGTTTGACTGTCTATGAGACCCCACTTTTCATGAAGTAAAAAAAATCCCAAAAAAGGATCCTATCCGATATAAAGTTTATATGTCCCACTTTGACCTTATCTCCTAATACGATGCTTCGCTTACTTTCATTCACAAATGCCAGAGATTATACTTTGCTGTGCCATAAAAGCCTCGTTTTTAAAAGGACCCTTCTAAGGGAAGTAAATCACACACCCAAGTGATACTTGTATATAAATTTTTGCCAAGATATCCTACAAATTTGACTTTGTTTTCATATAAAGGCTTATTTTTTTCGTTCAAAATTCATCTTGGAAACTCATTACTTGGGTCGTTTATTTGAAGAAATGTGCTGCCGAGACCCACCAAATGTGTTCAGAGGTTTACGGTGATGCTACTCCAGCATATTCCAATCGCTGATTTTAATTTCAACCGTTTAAAAATGCCTACGTGAATTGATTGAAAATGTCATTTTTTGACTACTTGAGGCAAGGGTTGCCCAGACTATATTGTAGCTGCTCAAATGAGATGATCTGCCACGCCCAGCGTACTCCTCAGACATGGCGTCCCCTAATTACGGATTGTTCAGATTGGTGCAGCATAGCTTGGTTGATACGCTGATCCGCGAAGTTGAAGAAGTGCGAAAGTGGGTCGTTGGATGGATCACTGCCAAACCAATACAAGTTCTTTCGGCATGGTAAAAAAAACTCTGCAATGAACATATGGTGGAGGGAAAAATAAGACAATTTAAATTCATTACAAACAAGAACAATAATAGAAAGAACTTATGATGAGAATGAGAGCAACATGCCATTCATAACATCACCAATAACACCATCATCGTCTTCATTTGCATCATCATCATGGTCACAATTATCATTATGTATAATATCATCTGAAACAGCAACTATATACAATCATATCTGCATAGCTACTGCTTGCTTGCATCTACTGTTCGATGTTCAAAACAAGTATACTAAGTTTGCAAAAATTTTGCACTAATTCTTCAATGTTGTTTCGCCGAAATTCTATATCATTTTAATTTCTAATTAGACATTAATTCGTAATTTAATTTTATGCTTGTTTCCTTTATGCTGGTTGCATTTATATGCGGTGCGGCTCGTCCATAACTATCTTTTTATTGCCATTTTGAATTGTTTAGTATATTGAAATTTTGTTTTTGCTTTTCATGAATGTTTGAATTTTGCCTCTGAGAAGTTAACACGTAAAAGATTCATTGTCAAGATGTGACTTTTCGAGATTACCATTGGCACAAGGCCAAACCCCTTCATATTCTCAAACTTGAAAATAATCTACGATCAGCTATCGTATAAAGAGACGGGTTGAAATTAATCGGTCCACAAAATGATTCTCATTGTTATGATAAAGTAAAAGTCGATCTCAAATGGTTCTGGGGACGGCATACGAACTTTGCATATTCTCCAGCGCATGTGGTGTAGTGTACAAGAAGTCCTACCGCTATCGTATAAGGTATTTTCACTGAAAAGATTTTCTTCTTAATTTGATTACTACTGTAAGTTTTCAAAAAGAAACAGTTTGAAGATGAGAAACGGAAGAGTTTGAAGGGCGGAAAACCTGACCAGCCGAGAATTATAGGCCAAACGTTTTGAGAGATCAATTGAAAGTAAAATTGTTGTTCTCCAAGGTAACGAAAACAGTCTGCCAGGCCCAAGTTGAATCTTTAACATGTCGTACGTATGCCAATAGATCTTACGGCGTGCTCGTCAAAAGTAAAGAGAACACGCTAAGAGCAGATTATATTTGCCAAAAGTGCTGGTTATCGGAATTCCGATTTATGACTAATTCCACAATTTTCATAAAAGTATTCGAGGGCAGATTCTAGGCTCTTATTACGCTTTTGAATCGTGTTTATTTCAGTTAGTCACAACTATTTACAGTCACAACTATTTATCTTTTGCATGTTTGGTAAACCCTTCGAAGAGTAAAAAATACCGCGGGCGAATCTGTGTCTTGGATGAGTTTCTCCTCGCTGAACGTAAGCCGTTCTATAAAACTTCTTTAGATAATTCTACATTCTACGTTTTTGATCTTTCGCCTACAAGAGGCACGGGTTCAAATCTCAAGTGCGGTAGAGTTTTTTTTGATGCTAGCGCTTTAAGAGAAAAGAATTTTATAAAAATATATATTTTTGCTTTTGCATATATATTTTTGCTTTTCTTTCTTTTTTTAACTTCGATATTTTACGCTTTAATAGCTTTAAAGGTCGATTTTTATTAGCAATATTAAAACTGCACTTTTTTATAAGCAATTTTTGTTACTTAGAATCGTTTATCTTTTTTTATTTTTCACGACACTTAATAATTTAGATTTTTTTTATATCAACGTTTTTTTTCTTTTTTGATAAGAAAAGCTTTCGAACAAAAATAAAGTTTTGTCCGACTGTGGCATTATTTTTAGTAAATCTATGCTAAAGCTCTTTATATTTCATGTTGAAGTAACACAGAAAGCGTTATGTGGGATGCAAGCTTGTGTTTCGCATTTAATAGTAACTTAATTATTGCATGCAATATTTTTTTTTGTATATTATGCTATATTCATTCTTTTACAAGTGTATGTGAGATAATGATTGTTACGCTATAGCCGTGCACGATCGCTATCTGTATACTCAATAGCACTTTGCCCGGTACAAAGATTCATTTAAGTTCGTTATAGTATTTTAAAAATTGTACCTTGTCGCTTTTCTTGAGAATCTTTATATAGATAGAAAAACTGCGCAGGCACATGTGATCCAAACTTAAGGAAATTAATTTGTATATCAAATTACTATTCGCAAAATGCTAGACATTCGATTTTATTATCACATAAAGGCTTATTTTGTTCCTTTCAATGGGAGATGGATGGATTTTTTGACATTCATATAACATAAGGAATCAGTTTATAATGAGGAACAATACGCTATCGTCAATCATAATAAGTGATAAAATGCCCAATCAGTAGAGAGAACTAAATAACAAGAGTAGCTGGGAAATTTTTCAAATTAAGAGATGAGAGCAAAATCCCAGGGATCTTTTGATTTTTTGTTACTAATAAGAGGAGTACAGGCGTTAATTACCACCCATTTTATTGCTTGCTCTTTGATTTTCACTATTTGTATGGGCGGAAATTCTGTTAATGATGACTTGATATTAAATGTTTACAGAGCAAAGCTTTATAAAGCAAAAGTATATAGAATTCTGTCTTTTTAAGGGAATGTGCGGTACATTACATACATGGGGACTTTACAGTTGAGTTTTCATTTATTAGGTAATAGAGTTCAGCGGACGGCACGGACGGCGTGGGCGGCCTTTTTTCAGAATATCCCTAATTCGACGCCTATAACGCGAACTCCCAATGGATGACGACGGATTTTATTTCGGACTATGGTGTGCTACCAAGTTGGCGATTGGATCCAGAAGGAAGCGGATGAGCAATGTTTTTCATCACTATGTCTCTGTTCGAAATCTAATTGGCGTTGTTAATCGATTTGTTGATCACATTCGAAGTATGTCAGCTAACTTATTTGTAATGTGATATTCCCATTTCATTCCGTACTTACTTATACCGTTCTTGGCTGTGGTTGCCCCCAATATCGCGGGAACATTAAATATTTG